CCTGCCGAAAGTTGCCTCCGGATGTTGTTACTAAAAGCCGTTGCCGTCAAGATCTTTGCCCTAGGATTGTCAGCTTATCCTGAAACTGATAAATAACAATAACGCGAAGCAACTCAACATTAAAAATAGTCCCTTATAATAAAATTCTCCTAAATTACAATCTATTCTATTCATCCTGAAAGAAAATTGATTAGCACAAGGATTATTTAAATCGATATTATGAGAATATCGAGCATAATCATAATCATTATTATCATTTTCAATTTCATTCGTCCTGTAAGAATGTTTATTAGTAACATTATCAATAAAAATTTCATTGTTATTAGCATATTGATTAATAACACGATTATTATTCGGGGCATTTTTTCCTCCAGTCGAACCGACCCCGCCAAGTTCGACTAATCTATGGGTGCTTTCCAGCAAGGAGACACAGATAGACACTGTGTCACACAATTGGACACAGAGTCTGGGTGCTTGATGGAACGTCTTTTAGTTCTCAACACACACAAAGCCACTAGTTTGCGTTCATTGAAACTTGACGATTTACTTTTACGTTCGCAACGCTCGTGTGCATTTCATCCTTGTTCGATATTTGAAAACATTTGACAACAACAAAACGATACTTGCGAGCATTGCGAACATTAAGTGGAACGCATTATATCTAGAAGACGCCCCTCACCTCCGATTTCGAAATTAGGCTCATTGCAACATTAACAAGGTATTGATTAATAACATTTCTATGAAACAAATTTTAAAATTGATATAATCTTAATGCTAACTTTTTGTTGTTAAATTTCTAAACAGATGAATCGGCTAGACATTTTTGAATTAATAGAAACGCTAAGTTCAAGTACTGATGAATCAAACAGTATTATATTGAACAGCAGTGATGACAATAGCTTAATATCAACAAGAGGAAGATGAGGACGTATTATTATTTCCTTTGATGCATTACTTAATGAATGATAGGCGAAGACATCGTATTGAAAATTATATAGTAATTGTTAATTCCTGGACAGATGAGGAATTTAAAGAACATTTGCGATTAACTCGATATACTGCAACAATTTTAATTGAAGAGTTAGAATTATCAGGATATATTCCATCACATTCTTTTAGCGTAAAACCGATATCAGCGAAGCTCAGTCTTTTACTATTTTTATGGTACATTGCTAACACAGAACCACTGCGAACTATGTCTGATAGATTTAATATTTCAATCTCTTCGGTTTTTCGAGTTCTTCGACGGGTTGTAGCTTGGTTCTTAACAAAACTAGATGCAGTCATTAAATGGTCACAAGACCGCGAAATTATGACTACATGCGAAAAATTTAGCATGAAACGAGGAATTAAAAATGTTTTAGGTGCGATAGATAGTACTCATATTCAAATTATAAAACCTACTTGTAACGCACGAAATTATTGTAATCGAAAAAAATTTTTTTCTATTAATTTACAAGCTATTGTAGATGCAGATATGTGTTTTACTAATATATATTGTGGCGAACCTGGTTCTTTGCATGATGCACGCGTATTCAGAAGATCACTTTTATATGAAATGGTGATTCAAGATAAAAATTTATTATTTCCTAATCAAACATTTTTGTTAGGCGACTCGGCGTATCCATGTTTATCGTGGCTTATTCCTCCCTTCCGAGATAACGGACACCTGACTCCTCGACAAACAGAATTTAATTTTATGCACTCATCTATACGGATAATTGTTGAAAAAGCATTTGGACAATTGAAAGGACATTTTCGTCGTATCAAATTTTTTACAGAATATCGTGACATAACTTTTGTTACTAACACAGTGATTGCAGCTTGCGTACTACATAATTATTGCATTGATAAGAATGACGTGTATGATTTTCCTGAATATAATGATATTAATAACATAAATATATATAATGATGAGCTTAATATTCCTAATTGTGAAGTACAAGGAGATCGCAGGATGCAGTTATTTAATGAAATATTTTCTGTACAATAATAAATATAAAAATATATTGATATGGATTATATATTGATGAATTGATAAGTATTAAATAAATTATTCTAATTAAAAAACAAACATGAAACTTTTTAATACCTTTATTATTTAGAGTTATAGTTTGTACTTACAAATATATCGACAATCAATGAATGTGAATTCCATATGTAAAAAATGTTTTTATTGTAAGAATATAATTGCACATTAATTTTTCTATTATGTTTTATATATATATATATAAAATGAAGCTAACATTTCAAGCGCATACATATAAACAAAATATTTTTTATAATTAATAATACTGTGGCATTTAATGTATAATAAGTAACTTAATGTATAATAAGTAAGTTAATGTATAATAAGTAACTTATAATAAAATATCTTCCATAAAAGTAAATCTATATTTACTTACAAAATTATTTAAAAAATCTAAAAAAATTAAGATCTTTACTTTAAATAATAAAAATTAAATAGTTTTGGAAGACAATAGAATAAGTACATAAAAACAAAATATTCTTTATAATACTTTGGCATTGTTTACTTCAAATGATTGATAGTTTTAGAGGAAAAGAAAATTTCAATAACTAATTTTTATTCAGAACCTGAATCTTCAGTTGCAAGTAATTTTTTGAGAAGTTTACATTTTTCTTTCTCTATTGCTATTCTTTCTGCATGTCTATTTTCCTTTCCTCTTAATCTAGCTATGAAATATTCCTTTTGTTGTTCAATTTCTTTTTCTTTTAAAGTAAGATGTTTTTTCTTTAATTTTATCATTTCTTTCTTTTGCTCTAAACTATCTGCATATTTTCCATCGTTTCTTTTGTCTTGTGCACCTTTGTTTTTCAAATATGTTAACCATTGATTTTCTAAAGCAACTTTAGTTCTTGCTAAATTAGATCCGCTTCCATGTAATGGACGTTTTCTTTTATTTGTTGTACTTAATATAGAAGTACATTCAGAGATAATTTCTGAATTTTCATTGGAATGATTTTCTGATAAAATATTAGGATTATCGGCAGAAATTGATGTTGAAGTAGAAGAGTCTAAATTAGATTTTGAAGTGAAAAGTTTTACCGATGAAGTAGAAGGCTTTTTTGATGAAATTGTTGATGAAGTAGAAGACTTTTTCGATGAAATTGTTGATACAGCAGAAGGCTGTGACATCAAATGAATAAATTTAGACGACACAGTGTGTTCTGCAACAGCATTTCTTTGTCGCCCTAAAATTTCATCTAGTTCGTTAAACCATTCAAAAGTCATTAAGGGGATGTTGGAGTGTCTTGTTTTACTATTTAATTTTTGAAGACTCTTTTCTCTTAATTGTGTTTATGGATCGAAAAGTCCTTCTCCACAATTAAAGTATCGATAACAACACAGGCTGCCA